AGCAAAGCACATAAGTAAAAAATAAATAAATACAAATAAGAAAAAGAAACTGCGTGCAATAGAAGAGCTCTAGGTGAATGTTTCAACAGCCATTGATTACCTTTGGTTAGGGACAGATGACTGTGGTTACATAGTGAGCCAGGTCCTAAATCTTATCCCTTCTGGACTACAAATTGGAGAGGATCTTCTATGGGTGGCCATGTCACTGAATTGATAACATGGATGCTTTCCATTGGCTGCCTAGTGCTGTGAACCTCTCAGCCTCCAGGAGACTGCAGTGATGTGATGATGACACAACTATGGGTTGGTGGCAAGACTGGTCAGTGCAGGCCCAAATGGCAGCTTTTGTATTACCATTCTCCATTCCCAGAAGAGGCACTGCGGTAGATGGGTATAAAAAAGGGTGCTAGATTTTCTCTAAAAATAACTGTGAATGGATGGCAGTAAAGTTCCTCCATGCACACTTCCCCACACTTACCTTTTATAATTTTAAGTCTAAATACCTTATTTCTGAGAGCATACCTGATGACAGCTGACATTTTATCCACAGTGTTGGGCTGTGGTTGAGCTTTAATTACCCTCACGTCTGAGCATTGTGACGTGTAAACACCAATCAGTGTAGGCTACCAGCGAGCAATTGGCAGTAAGTGTGGTGATGCCAGGGACTAGGAAATTTATTAAACAATATGATAGTGTGACAAGAACACGCCTATCTGAAAAAGAAGGTTTCTAAAAGATCCACGCGGAGTAGTATGAATTCAAATGAATTTAACAATACTTTATTTGATCACATAGATCATGGGGAGGTAATCTCCTGTTTATCATTCTCTTGGAAGATGATTTGATCCATAGTAATTAGGCTCCTCTTCCACATCCAGCAATCATTTTAAAATTCAAGATATATGTTTTAATTCACTTTTGGATATTCCCAATGTAGTGATATTCTTTCAACACAAGATGGCGAGGTGGAGACTTTTTGGTATGCAATTAGTGCACCATATAAGGCAAAGGATTGAAGTCCCCTCCCAGTTCTGACGAAGTCTGCGGTGATTGGCGGACGAAACGCGTCAACGTATTGACGTCACTACGCTCGGCGTCTTCACAGGGTGCGGCGCCCACGAGGCGGGAAGGAACGGTGGTGTCACAGCTCCCTGTTAGGTAGGCCCAAGACCTCGTGAGAACTACCAGTGGGCTATTATCACAGCGGTTCGCAAACGGCAATCCCTCAGGGAAACATATCTTCCACCGGTGGCAAGTTATTTAAAAGCTTACGGCTGTTGAGATTTACAGAGCCTACATGGTGTTCATAGGGCATGTTGTATGGGCCTAATTTACCCTGTATACTCGGGGAACTTTTTGGTAATCCTCTCAGGAGGAGAATCTACATATATATATATATATATATATACGCTATCCTATTCAGGTATTTTTTTTAATAGCTGTGACATAGCCACATCCTTATAAAACCACAAATAACCTTCTCAAATTGAGCAATTTTTGGAAACCCTTTACTGGGTATATTAAATTCAGGTATCTATGGCCTGCTATATGCTATATACACACTATATGTGTTTGAAATCCACGCATCGTGTATACCTGGTTCCTCACCCCAATATGCATTTTTGGAAAAGCATCAAGGACCTGATCTTAGTTCAAGTCGACAGGAGTCTTCTTGATCCTCATTGATGGTAATATATCCACATCTCTATGTGTGTTTTGTTTTCGGGGTTACCTGATGCCCATGATCTACACATTTATTATCTTTTTCTATGTATATCCTCAGAATCATTTGGTACTGTGGACCTTGTTCCATTTGGGGTGGCTATCCAGGAAGTCCCTACATTTGAGAGGCGGGTATGATAGTCTCACCTCTGAGAAGGTAACAGCAGTATCCATTGACTATTGTGGAGGGAGGCCTGGTAAATTTTGGATGTGATTTGGTTTCCATATTGCTAGATACATACCATGTATTTTTGTGTTCCAGCTTGTACATTCCAGGAGGTCCCTGACATATACTGGGAACACACCGACTGAATATACGGTTCACACAAATATTAAGCAGGAAACCTACGGAAATCCAGGATAACTATTCCATCATTACACTACTCTGCCTTATATGGTGCTCTGTTGGCTAAGATGACCCTAAATTGAAGACGCTAAGTGTTTTTAAACATGATTTTATTTTTTTCATATGTACACCATGCTCATGTTTTACCTCCCCATGATCTATGTGATCAAATAAAGTATTGTTAAATTCATTTGAATTCATACTACTCCGCGTGGATCTTTTAGAAACCTTCTTTTTCAGATAGGCGTGTTCTTGTCACACTATCATATTGTTTAGTATGCTGTCCCCTGGGTTTATGTATCCACACTTGTATAAGTGAGTCGGAGAGGTGCTTATGACATTAACAATTAGTGTCATTTTTGGTGGCTTGCTCTTGCTTTATTGTTGTGACTAGGAAATTTATCCATGGCTATCTGGGTTTATAAGGAAGGTACTGGATGATGCTTTAACATCCTCCTTGCACAACCACTATGCAAGGAAGATATAGAAAAACATCTCCATAGTGCAGAGCAGGAAAGTAGTACATTAACAACACAAAGAGTAGACATTAGTTTAGTTACGAATTGAAAAAATTCAGACAACATTTTTGTTATTCAGAAATTTTGGACGTATCTGAATCTCCGAATCATAATAGTAACAAATTTCAACTAATGAGAAATAAATTATAATGAAAGGAAAGAACTCATTCATATTCATTCATTTGCGATTTCAGACGGTTTTGTAAGTTTAATAATATGTGTCACACTCTGTATTGTTATGACTGGCCAAAGCCAAGCTCGTGAAACATCGAAAGTGCAAGCAAGTTACTAAGCATCTAAGTCACATCAAAGTCGCAAGCAAGTTGCATCAAAGTCAAAAGCAATTCACAATGCAAAGTCGCACTAGGAGCATAAAGAATGAATCTGAATCTTCGGAAATAACTTCGGAAAATATAAATGGATTCAAAACAATGAATATACAACATGAATTTGATTATACAAAACGAATTCCGAAAATTAATCATTCTAACATAACAAATATGACGAAATGAAATGATGACGAATGAATCCGAAACCAAACACATTTTTTTCATCATGCACATCTCTAACAAAGAGCACAGAAAGATCGAAAAATATTTACAAAAGGAAGCTGGAGTTGGGCTTAATGCATCCAGCTCATTGGACAGAGGAAATGATACTGAGTTATTGTCCAATGGTCAATGTGTGGGTAGAGAGGTGAAAAACAAAGTTGTGAAGCTGGACCAGAAAGTTGAACTGCTGAACCAAGAAATAATGTGTTGTCTCTCTAGCTGTAAAGTGTGCAATATGTGCATAAATCAGAAGACTGTTTGAACAGAATTGCAAATCCTTTTATAGGTAAAACAGTAAACTGATGTGTATTTTAACTGTGTATTTAGCTGTTTGCCAATTTTTATGGTACACTGACTTAAAAGAGAAGTTTAGCTTCCCCCCCCTCAAATTATACTTACCAATACTGCATCTGTCCCCTGCCAGCTCTAATCACATGACCGCTGATTGACCGCTGTGAGCAGAGAGCACACAAAGCTCTGGGTCTTTTCTGTATAGGATTGTTCCAGTTTGCCCTCCCAGGCAACTACTGTCATGCAGGTGGGTGACCTGAGGGCCTGAATGCTAAGGCCTGAATTCTGCTATGCTGACTGAGGGACTGTCCACTGAAGATCTGGTCTGGTATCATGGAGGAAGGCATCCAGCTGCTCTTAGGCCTCTTGAGTACAGACGAGTCTAGCAAAGGGAACACTGGCTGGTGTTCCAAAGAGCTTTGATCATCGGGCTTACTTTAACGGAACACTGCTCTGGGGCTCCAAAGAAGTTACTAATACTACTACAACCTTAAGCTGATGCTCACTGTTTGATTCAAGCAAGTACTCCAACATGAAGATTAGATAAAGTCCTCAGTGTACAATAGTTCCTATTGTTGGAGTATCCTACACATCTCCCTCATCTTTATCCAAGTTCTCCAAAAATAAAAACAAGAAAAACAACACCCCTAGCCTGGTTATTGGAGAAAACATGTGAATGAGCCTACAGGTATGTTCCTGGCTGAAGGGCAAAGTAACTGGAGAGGACCTGGGCAGTATTCCTCCGCCTCCTATGGGAGTAGCGCTATGGCTATATTTACCAAAGGTTCCCAGTCCTCCACTGGTATTGGGGTGATGAATTGATGTATGGCGCCATCAATCAATGTATATGCAGATCAGATATGTCACCAACACACATTCTTCATATTCTTTAACAAATATTTATTATAACATTTATTATATAAATAAGATGCAACGTTTTGGGTGCCACACAGGGTCTCCTTCACCAAGGCGTCTGGAAGGAAGGATAACCTACCATATTTTTCGCGCTCCATAAGACACACTTTTTTCCCCCAAAAAAAGGGGGGAAAATGTCAGTGCGTCTTATGGAGCGAATATGGAGCGGCCGGTCCGATATTTCCACCGCCGCCGTGTCAGAATACCAGGCCAGCCGCTCAGCTCTGTAGCGGGACCCTTACCTGTTCCTCTATCCAGCAGCGCACTGTCCCTTCCCGGCTTCTGTAGTGTGGGCGCTGGGCTTGACAGCCGGCATGTGGAAGAAGCGGTGCTCTTTGTGAATGGTAAGGTGGCACCTGGGACACGTGACAGGTCCCAGAAGCCGCCGGACCAATCACAAAGCGCAGCGCTTCTCGCTCATGCGCACTGGGCATCCGGCTGTCAATCCGAGCGCCCACACTACAGAAGCCGGGAAGACAGCGCGTGACTGGATAGAGGAACAGGTAAGGTCAAAGAACAACTCTGCGGAAGTAAGAGCGGGTATCTGTCAAATTCAGGTACCCGCTCCCCCCCCCCCCCAAAGGTCAGCAGTCATCTCCTGTACTGTCCGCAGTCTCTGGTCATCTCCTGTACTGTGTCCGCAGTCTCTGGTCATCTCCTGTACTGTGTCCGCAGTCTCTGGTCATCTCATGTACTATGTCTGCAGTCTCTGGTCATCTCCTGTACTATGTCTGCAGTCTCTGGTCATCTCCTGTACTATGTCCGCAGTCTCTGGTCATCTCCTGTACTATGTCTGCAGTCTCTGGTCATCTCCTGTACTGTTTCCGCAGTCTCTGGTCATCTCCTTTACTGTGTCCGCAGTCTCTGGTCATCTCCTGTACTGTGTCCGCAGTCTCTGGTCATCTCCTGTACTGTGTCCGCAGTCTCTGGACATCTCCTGTACTGTGTCCGCAGTCTCTGGTCATCTCATGTACTATGTCCGCAGTCTCTGGTGACATCTCCTGTACTATGTCCGCAGTCTCTGGTCATCTCCTGTACTGTGTCCGCATCTCTTACTGTGGACATCTCCTGTACTGTGTCCCGCAGTCTCTGGTCATCTCCTGTACTATGTCCGCAGTCTCTGGACATCTCCTGTACTGTGTCTGCAGTCTCTGGTCATCTCCTGTACTATGTCCGCAGTCTCTGGTCATCTCCTGTACTGTGTCCGCAGTCTCTGGTCATCTCCTGTACTGTGTCCGCAGTCTCTGGTCATCTCCTGTACTGTGTCCGCAGTCTCTGGTCATCTCCTGTACTGTGTCCGCAGTCTCTGGTCATCTCCTGTACTGTGTCCACAGTCTCTGGTCATCTCCTGTACTGCATCCGCAGTCAGTCTCTGGTCATCTCCTGTACTGTGTCCGCAGTCTCTGGACATCTCCTGTACTATGTCTGCAGTCTCTGGTCATCTCCTGTACTATGTCTGCAGTCTCTGGTCATCTCCTGTACTGTGTCTGCAGTCTCTGGTCATCTCCTGTACTATGTCTGCAGTCTCTGGTCATCTCCTGTACTGTGTCCCTGCAGTCTCTGGTCATCTCCTGTACTATGTCCGCAGTCTCTGGTCATCCCCTGTACTGTGTCTGCAGTCTCTGGTCATCTCCTGTACTATGTCCGCAGTCTCTGGTCATCTCCTGTACTATGTCCCGCAGTCTCTGGTCATCTCCTGTACTGTGTCCGCAGTCTCTGGTCATCTCCTGTACTGTGTCCGCAGTCTCTGGTCATCTCCTGTACTGTGTCCGCAGTCTCTGGTCATCTCCTGTACTGTGTCCACAGTCTCTGGTCCTCTCCTGTACTGCATCCGCAGCAGTCTCTGGTCATCTCCTGTACTGTGTCCGCAGTCTCTGGACATCTCCTGTACTATGTCTGCAGTCTCTGGTCATCTCCTGTACTATGTCTGCAGTCTCTGGTCATTCTCCTGTACTGTGTCTGCAGTCTCTGGTCATCTCCTGTACTATGTCTGCAGTCTCTGGTCATCTCCTGTACTGTGTCCGCAGTCTCTGGACATCTCCTGTACTATGTCTGCAGTCTCTGGTCATCTCCTGTACTGTGTCCGCAGTCTCTGGACATCTCCTGTACTATGTCTGCAGTCTCTGGTCATCTCCTGTACTATGTCCGCAGTCTCTGGTCATCTCCTGTACTATGTCCGCAGTCTCTGGTCATCTCCTGTACTATGTCCGCAGTCTCTGGTCATCTCCTGTACTATGTCCGCAGTCTCTGGTCATCTCCTGTACTATGTCCGCAGTCTCTGGTCATCTCCTGTACTGTGTCCGCAGTCTCTGGTCATCTCCTGTACTATGTCTGCAGTCTCTGGTCATCTCCTGTACTGTGTCCGCAGTCTCTGGTCATCCCCTGTACTGTGTCCGCAGTCTCTGGTCATCTCCTGTACTGTGTCTGCAGTCTCTGGTCATCTCCTGTACTATGTCTGCAGTCTCTGATCATCTCCTGTACTGTGTCCGCAGTCTCTGGTCATCCCCCTGTACTGTGTCCGCAGTCTCTGGTCATCTCCTGTACTGTGTCTGCAGTCTCTGGTCATCTCCTGTACTGTGTCCGCAGTCTCTGGTCATCTCCTGTACTATGTCTGCAGTCCATTAGTTCAGAATATTTTTTTTTCCTGTTTTCAGCCTCTAAAACCTAGGTGCGTCTTATGGTCAGGTGCGTCTTATGAGCGAAAAATACGGTAAATTGGACACATTTTTCCTGATTCTTAGTTTTGATCCAAGAAAACAGTTTTAATGGAAAAATAGCAAATCTAAATATTTTTGGCAAAGGTATGTTACTTTAAAAGGAAAAGATCCTCTATCGGCAAACATTTTTTAGAAAAAAGGTGACTTCACCTTAGAGTTAGATATTGTTGTCTTTATCTATGTTCAAGGACAGCTGTAGAATATGTTCTGTGTGCTCATTAAATACTAATAAAATGGAGTCATCTCACCTGCCAAAACAAATGTTCACACACCATATCGCAGTAATAGTGAGTGATTTCATCATCCTCATAATATGTTACTAGATGCCTTATTTTTAATACTATTACAGTACAGATGGGATAATGTAGCTGATATGTTCCATATGCTACCTAGTAGGTCACCCAATCAATTTGGAGGTGAATTGTTATTATTATTTTTTTTACATGGGTTATTATCAGGAAAAACAACTGTTTGATTAATCAAACACCAACCAGCACCTTAAAGCGACCCTGTCAGTAGCCACAAAATTCCAAAGTGCAGTTCCCTGCAATAAAAGAGCTATTTCAGCATTTACACTTTCAGAATTGTGTGCCCACCACCAGACTTCCATATTCTGACCCCTACAGGATGCATTTATTTAGGTCTCCCATTCAATAGATTTCACTTTTTGGGTGGCAGAAGTGCCATGAAAGATTTTCCCACTATTCTTGTTTTGTCGACTACTCAAAATTTTGATGACATTATCCCCAGGACATGTAGGGACACTTTAAAGGTGAAACTCTGGATGTAAAAATTTTCAAGTATGTCTATTCCTCAATAGCAACAAAATATCTAAATCCACTTTGTGTCCACCAAATTCCTTTGCACAGCTAGATATTTTTTTTGTAAAAGTAGCAGTACTATTACTACTGTGCTGTACATATCCTGTGCAGAGAGCGGAATTGTGGGAGGAGCCCAGCAGATCCTACCCACTATAGCGTGCCTGCAGGAAACTACAAGAGGATTGGATACAGGACTAGAGAAGAATAGTGCTCGCTACAGTCCCTGATCCATGGGAAAGTAACCTCTGGTACTTCATTTTAGGGCTTCATCCCTTCCTACAGATAGGCTCTCACTTTCAGAGCCTAAAGCACATATCTAGGCCTTAGGCTTTAGGCCTACCCAGCACAGCTGTTCCTCACACAGGCACAGCAGACCAAGGTTTGGGAATGGGGACCCTGATCACTTCACCTCCCCATATATTTATGAGCTCTCCCAGCATGCACCATCAACCAGAGAAACTCCAGTGACACCTACTGGCAAAAGGGAAGGACCACAGCTATGTCAGACTTCACCTTTTATTTATTTATGTAAAACCTTTATCCCAAAAGGAAAAATATGTTTGCTGTAACTGATTATAAAGTGTGAGCTGGATTTTGGCTTCAATTTGTTTATATGTAGTCAATTCTACTCATAAATGTAATGCTCTCATCCCCTAGACTGAAAGTGCTGCTGTCTGCTGTGTCCTCTCCCCATTCCTCCAACGTGGTGTCTCTCTAATACTGGAGGTGTGTTTACTGGCCAGATCACCAGGTGAAAACAGAAGGGAAAAAAGTCAAAGAAATGAAAACTGGTGCAGCCATCACATCTGATGGTTGGTAAGCTGCAATATAATACATTTTTGGTTTTGGGTTTAAGGCTCCATGCACACGGGGTGTTTTAAAAACGCTGGTACCGTTAGCTGTGTAGAGTTGCATTAAAAACACAAGTTTTTCACCGGTTTTTTAGTGTTTTTGCATTAGTGTTTAGCCATGTTTTTCCGTGTTTGCGTTTTGTTTTTTTATACACACAAAAAAAAAATGTTTTGCTCAAAAAACACCCCAAAACGCCTGTTTGCCATGTTTTACCACATTTTTCAGCGTTTTCCAGTGTTAGAGAGTCTTTACAGCTCTAGAAACCCACTAGTTCTGGGTTTTTTCTTCAGTCAAAAAAACGCCCCTGCCAAAAAATGTTGATTAACCAGTTCCGCACCACCTTATATCAGAAACACTGCTACAGGGCAGCACGGGTGCACAAAATTACATATATATGTGATTTTGCAGCTCTGGGTAGGGGATATGCGCCATTCGCGGCCTCAGCTGTCAATCTGCCTGTGATTACTTGCTGGCACCCAGTGATCACCGAGTATCTGTGACGGAGGAGAGACCTGTGTATAAGCAACACAGATCTCTCCCCTGTCAGCTCCTGCACACTGTTTTGTATGGCTCTGCATAGCAGAGCCATACAAAGTAGTGTGCTTATAATGAAGCACAGACACAGCCCACATAATGAAACAGCACACAGTTAACCCTTTGATCACCCCAGATGTTAACCCCTTCCCGCCCAGTGCCATTAGTACAGTGTCAGTGCTTTTTATTAGCACTAATCACTGTATTGGTGTCACTGGGGATGTCAGTTCCCCCCCAGTGTCAGAATGCCCGCTGCAGTCCCGCTATAAGTCGCTGATCACTGCCATTACTAGTAAAAAAAAGGAAAAATCCAGTATATATACCTCCATTTGTAAACGCTATAAGTTTCATGTAAATCAATTAATTTACACGTATTGGGATTTTTTTTAGCAAAGACATAGAGCAGAATACATTTTGGCCTAAATTTATGAAGAAATTTGATTTTTTAAATTCTTTTACTGGACATGTTTAATAGCAAAAAATCTAAAATATTGTTATTTTTCTCAAAATTGTCGGTCTTTTTTGTTTATAGCGCAAAACATTAAAAATGCAGAGGTGATCAAATACCACCAAAAGAAAGCTCTATTTGTGGGGAAAAAAAGGACATAAATTTCATTTGGGTGTAGCATTGCATGGCCGTGCAATTGTTAGTTATAGTAACGCAGCGCCGTATCGCAAAAAATGGCCTGGTCAGGGGGGGGGGGGGGGGATTCTCTGGAAGGCAAGTGGTTAAAGCCTATGCATGCATGGACACATAGGATAACATGATGGAGAGTTTACTGGCTGTAGAAAAAAATGCCAAAAGCCAAAAACAGCCGCTGTAAAAATGTCCAGAGTGCATGAGGACTAATACTCAGTAGTGTATTTAGGTTTTGTGCTGCCCTAGGCAACAAAAAATTGGATGCCCCTCCCCGGCAGAGAGACAGCCTCACACCGACCAACACCAAACAGCCCCCCTCCCCCAGCAGAGAGAGCCTGACAGTGACCAAAAACACCCCTGTCCCATACTTTATCCCCCACCCGAGAGAGCCTTCCACTAACACCCCCCCCCCACGGCGACAGAGAGAAAGATACTCACCTTCACAGCTCTGGACATCCCCGGGAATGACAGCTGGGCTCTGTATACACCATTAAGAAGCCCGCAACCTCTCTCCGATCCCACCTGGTCCATTCTTCCAGGGGGCAGTGCTGCCCCTAAAAATTGCCACCCTAGGCAAATGCCTTTTTTGCCTTGTGGTAAATGCGAACCCTGCTAATACTGCTTTCAGGGAAGAAGAACTGAGAGAGCAGGAGCCTGCTGCATTGAAAGCTATAAACTGCAAATGCTGAAGTAAGAAGTTTAACAAATAATTTACTAGGGATTGTTTATTTTATTTTGCTCAATATGTTAAGCTAAAAAAATTGCTGTGGGTTTAACACTACTTTAAATACTTTTGTAATGATTTAGAAAAGGGCAGAATAATTCATCTATCATGCATTTTGAAACAATTCAACAAGTGCACCAAAAGTCCTGTTTCAATATCTACAGAACCTAGGCAAGCAAGGATTCCCAACGACATATGCCCAACTCCATGCCAAGCATACAGTTGCCCTAGATGATTTTTTGAAAAACTGGAGTGCTTCTTTAAGTGAAGTGTCAGTGAACAAAAATCCTTCAGTAGATTTACATGGTTCCAATTGATGCATTTGTCACAATAACAAGTCATTTGAAAAGTCTTTTGTAGAATAATTTCATGTTATAGTTAATGGGTTCTCTGTTACATAAAGATCGAAATAAATCAAAGTTTGTCTGTAATTCCCACTGTTTTCCCATTAAGCTCAGTTGAGCGGGTTTGTCGGCACGGCAGCAGATATACCCTCTGGGCCTGGGTGTTAAATGTGTGAAACATGATTAGCAAGTTTGATGCCACTGCAAATAGATGAAGAGAAAATTCTCGCAAAGTGTCATTGTATCAGTGCACAATTGGCAGCGCCATACAAATCCCTCACTGTGCGAACACCAAATATCTTGCTAAGTATTTCTGCTTGAAATTACCACATTATGCCTTAAAAATGATAACACATAAATATGTATCAGAGTGGCTTGCTATTAACCCTGTCAGTTCAGGAGAAGTGCAGAGGACTGGCTGCCTAACTGGCAAAAAGATGAGGCAAGCTGCCTAACTGGCAAAAAGATGAAGAAAGGAGTACTCAGGCATTCTGACAGGGCTGGAAAGAAAAGCACACAGGGGGCTCAAACACCCAGCGCATTTTCCAAGGTTTATTGAAAAATTAAAAAACAAAAAACATACTCAGAAATAGAGATGTGTAAAAAAGACTATAAAACTGCTGAGATGGCCCAACGTGTACCCAACTGGGGGATCAACC